TTTAATGTTTTAAATTAAACATGGGATATTGTGGGATACCTCGGGGCAACATTTTGTAATTCACGTAAACTTGACTTTTAAAGATGTCCAGGAGGTTCCTCTTAAGATCCAAACGACTCGCGAAATAAACGACAGGAAGCGAGAGAGCATATATTCGTGTTTCACAAGACAAGTCGAAAATGGCACGAAACGACGGCTCGTGCCGGCGTTGGCTAAGAAATTGAAAGTGACGAAGATGAATCCTGTTAAGCTGATTACGTAAGGTTTTCACAGATCCATGTCCCTTTGATGGCTCTCTCTCTCTTTGTTTGCCCGCGGTCGCTTCGCGCGCGCACGCGCCCATTTGGTTTAGAAATCAGAGGAATTAAAGCGCTTATACGTCCCGACGTTGAGTCAATCCGTCCACGTCAGGAACGCGGCCCGAAACCATGAATTTCGAGAGTGCGGACACTGACGAATTTCGTGGCAGTCTGCTTTTAACCGGCGCTCTCTTAATTCCGCGCCGTGGCGAGCACGCGCACACGTGTATACGTGTCTGCGTGTACGCGTGTAAACTGTCGTACATGAAACCAGTGAATGGTGAGCAATTTGAAGGCAGTCGGGAATGAGAGGAGGGGAGGCAATTTTGAGGGCCCCGGGGCCCTCTGCCTCTCCTGCCTTCTCTTCATGGAGGTGACTCCTCGTTCAGGGCAGCGAACACGAGCACAGCAAAAATTTTCGCCCGAATCTCGTCTCCCCTTCTTTCTGTCTTTCTCTTCCTCTCCTTTTTCCTTCTCTCACTCTTTCTCTCTCATTCATTCTTTCTCTTGCTCAAGCGAGACGAGCTCCTCGGGCGCACACCACACGACCCATTCGGGCAAGGGTTTGTGTATCGCAACGGGTCCGGGTAATATCTCGTTTAGAAAGATTACAGGTTCGAGAAGAGGCTGCCAATGTATAAAACAAACATCGTTAAGGCAGCCCTATACTTAAGACCCCCCCCCTACCCGTTTCCGGCCCCACCCCAAGTACCCCCTCTGGCATTACATGCTCGCTATTATGTGCATCTACGATACTGCTGCGTCTCATTATACGTGTGCGTGTATATGTGTGCATAGAGTGTCACGGAAACTACCAGAAACGGTAGCAGGTACATGTTCCCAGGGAGACCTCGAAATTATGATAAATTGAACATCAAGTAAATAAAATTTTGTTTCTCAATCATCTTCATCCTTCAACATCAAAGTCTCTTTATTGTCATAGCCCTTATTTAACAAAAAAAAATATATATATAAATAAAAATTACGCCAATTAACGATCAATCGTGAAGAAACACCAGCGTCCAATTTCTGATCGCCATTCACGCATCTTTCGAGACACCCTGTACGGATTTACATGCGCCACGATGATGCTGCGGGCGAGAGACTGCGGGGAGGGTGGGAAAGAGAGGACGGGGAGGCGTCTAGTGGATCACGCACGCTCCAAGTGTAAATGCGCTTTGCGTGTGGTGGCGAACGTGTCAAACGCGTATGCCGTATTGAGACGTAGACCACCGGACGGGGTTCGAGCGCGGGGTCCGACGAGCGGGCCCCGGCATAATTTCCACGTGTATAATTATCGATGATCGGCCGTTACGGAGGCTCGGCGCGGCGTGGCGCGGCTCTCGCACGGCGTTTCAGCTGAAACCCGATCGCGAGCGGGCGGATACCACGACCAGGCGGAATAGAGGAGTAAGAGAGGGAGAGGAAAGGAGAGGAAGGGAGAGGAAGAGAGAGAGAGAAAGAGAGAGAGAGAGAGAGAAGAGAAT